CAATGTGACTGTTGTGTGCACAGGCAATAACACACTTTCATGTGCAAACTATGGATCCACCCATTTTTGCTGTTTTTTAATGCATGCCAGTATCAGTTACCAGGACAGATGAAGACACCTGCAAACCACCAACATACACCTCAAAATGGGCTGTGTTTTCAGCAGAAATCAAAGCAAAGTACCAGTGTCAGATGTACTGGAAGTTATCTGAATAACACTGACACTGTGACTGCCTACAACACAAAATGAGGAAAGGATGTAAAAGGTCTCAAGCCATGAAACAGCTTAAGCATTTATGCAACGATAATGCATTTTTTAAACATGGTTGTGCAGCAATTGTGCAGTACCCAATCCTGCACAGCATATTAAATATGTGCATTCCTATCTGAAAACATCTCAAGCAAATGATCTGATAAACTGGTTCAGCCATCTCAGGCTCTGGGTACCTGACTTTTTCCCTTTGTAAACTGTGCCTATTTGAAGAATAACTTCCTGGAATGGAGAATGTTATGAATTAAGCATGTGGCTCTAATACTGTAATATCAGCCCTAAAATAAGCATTTGCCACCAGGGGAAGCAAGCCATATTATCCATACATAAAAAAGACAAAGAAAGGACACAAACATACGAACAGCGCCGTAAAGGGTATGTGACGACCCAGTACGTAGCGAAGACACGCTATTTACAAGAGGTTAACAAAGCTACGCCGCTTTCCGAAACCATTCATAGGTCTCATGGCCTCAACACTTCAGGGCACATTGGATATCACTACCCATTTGATATATCACATATTCAGTGGGAGCAACCCACAGTGTTCCTTCCGTAACCGAACAAAGAGCCTCACCTATACCTGCGGACAAACACGCACGTACCTCGGGACCGCTCTGCCAGGCGTGGTGACCTTCGCCGTTTAAAGATACTTTGTTTACAGGCGCTCCATGCTTGTAATGATTGTGGACTATCGACCCTAGCGTGCTTTAGATATTTCACAAAATCTATGGAGAACTGAGCTTTGAATTGAAAAAATCATTAATTGAATCTAAATTGTTATTATGTAATAGTTTTGCCTTCTGGGAGAATAAATGGGCACTTGTGGCACAAGCTGGCTAAGATAACCCTCTTGATGACTGCAGGTCAGAAAGGCATAAACGGCGCAGGATGACACACAGAAACCTCCGCAGGACAAGGGAAGGCGGGCAGTGGATCACAATAAACGAAAATATACCGGCCCCGGCGAGAGCGATTGCAGTTATTCCTTCATTTCAACCAACGGTTTTGTAGCAGACACTGGTGAGGACATTGTTCACGTACCTACCTATGCCTGTAATGGTCGAAAATGGCCCTTTCGTGTACGTGAGAACTTTACGAATCGTGAGGCTTCCGGTGCAACACTGATATATCTCGATCTTGATCTGCCTTCATAGATTGAGCGGAGTTCGCTTGAAATGTGTATTTAGTGATGGTACCAATAGATTACAGTGGGCTATTGTGTGCATTTATCAATGTTGAATATTAAGGGCCTTGGATGCAGAGGGAGTGCTCTCATGCCAGACTTCGGGAAATATGTGTCACGCCAGAGACATCCATGGTAGCAATGACATTGCTGCAGCACTCTGGGAATGTTGTGATGTCAGTCAGGGTGCCAGAGTCTGTTGCATGGTCACTACCATTTTCGGTGCATTGAGTGGCTCAATGTTTCTAATCAAATATGCTAACATAGGTAATGTTCAATGTAATTACAATCGACCCACATAAACTTTTCACAAGGATGAAGGGATGTGTGGGGGGTTTATTTATGTGCATCCAGGGAAGTGGATGGATTATCTGCAAGAATCTATACCTGGCACCCTGCTTACTGTGATGCATCCCATCTGGCTGTTTTGTAATGTGGGTCTTTGACTCCCTATTTTCTTCTGCAGATTTAATAGCCTAACCCACATCACAATTAATCATGCCTGATCATCTTGGGGGTGATATGCGCAAGGTGAAAGATGTAACAGAAGAGGAAGAAAAGGAATTCAAAAGTAAGTAAATTTGTTATGTTTATCCTTGCATACAAGGCTGTTCGCATGAACAGATTAATGGTTAATAGATATGACAAGATATATTGAG